TCCTTCCTTCCTTCCTTCCTTCCTTCCTTCCTTCCTTCCTTCCTTCCCTCCTTCCCTCCTTCCTTCTCACTACAACCTACACATCTCGGGTTACAATTCTCCTGTCTCAGCCTCCCCAGTAGCTAGGACTACAAGTGCATGCCACCATGCCCAGCTAATTTTTATATTTTTTAAGTAAAGATGGGGTTTCACCATATTGGCTAGGCTGGTCTCAAATTCCTGACCTCATGATCTGCCCACCTCAGCCTCCCAAAGTGCTGGGATTACAGGCATGAGCCAATGTGCCCCACCTGCCTATTCTTTCCATTGTTAATTTTTCTGTCCTCACTCAAACCACCATTTAATATAGACCTATAATAAGTCCTGATAGCTATTTGGACACATCTACTTTACCTTATTTGTTTTCCTTAAGAATGCCTTTGCTATATTCATGATGCTTAGTGTTTTCAGCAAAATTTTAAAGTTAGACTGTCAACCACTATATAAATATATTGGCATTTTAATTTGAATTGCATTGAATCTGTTAATTACTTTGCAAAAACTGACATCATTGTGATACTGAAATTTTTAATATCTCCTATTTATGTAAATGTTCTTTAATGGCTTTAAATAATGCCTCATAATTTTCTGAGTATTATAAATATTTACACAACTAGGTATCTCATTTTGTTTTTCTACTGCAATCTGTAGGTTTCAAAAAATTATATACTCTATTAATACACTTGGGTATTAATTTGTATCCAGTTGCTAAATCTTCTCATTAATAAAATAATTCATTTATAATTTTTCATGCATTTTCTATGAAATCTCTTTGTATATTTTTCTATGTAGATAATAATGCCATCACAAATAAAGCATATGTTTCCAGCATCCTGGCAGTTTTCATATGAATAATTATAATGTCATTTAGTTCTAGTTTTAAAACTTCCATTTGGATTTATTCACTGACAAATAAGTTGTTTAGAACTTTAAAAAAGATTTATTGTTATTGTTGTACCTTATTCCTAATTTTATATCATTTCTTTATTCATATTTTCAAGAATTATGTATTTAAAATATAGTATCAGTAAAGGTACAATCATGATACAATAATCTTCTGTTATTTGACAGGGAAACTTCAAAATAAATAATTACTTAGTTTAATACAAAATGATTAACTACCAAAGAAATAAAACAAATCTTGAATGGGCTCCTTTACCAACCAAATAATGCTGCATCTTCTGAATGCCACTTTCTCAATAAATGGAGTGATCATTTATCCTGAGGACCAGTTAAGGAACCTCTATTATTTTTATAGACCATTTTTTCTCATCTTATCAAGTCATCAAATAGTGAAAATTCTAGGCCCACCCAATCAAATTTTCACATTGCCACCTAAGTAATATTTTAGAAATGCGAGTTTGATGATTTCTCTGTACTGTTATAATATTGTTGAAATATTATAATATCTCAATGGCTTCTTCTTCCCTTGAGGATAGAGATCTTTAATCTGCCATAAAAGAATCTCGAATGTCTGGCTGAACCTGGATTATCACCTTTTCTATACTGAAATATTTGCCATATACTAATACACAATGGGCTTAGGCATGTATTTGTCCTGCAATCTATCTTTCACAAGATTTTTAAATATATTGGTTCTTTGTATTCCTATACTCAACATGGAGAAGTTTCATTCTTTTCCCCACCTTTCTTTTCTGAAAAGTTTATAGTTGACTTATTCTGTTACTATCTTCAATTCAAGTTAAGCTGTTTGCTCAAGGTTATACATAAAAAGTTATAGATTCAATTGTACTGCTTAGTTTTCTGGTCTTTTAACTATGCTATTATCTGAAGGACAGAGAGACTCCACACCATAGCATACATAATGGAGAAGTAATTCTAAAGGACACTTTGTTAAGAGTTTCACATGTTTTAAAAAGAAGCACAGCTTCTTTTTAAAAAATGAAATTGTACTCAGAAACTCAATATGTAATATCTACTCTTCTTCCAGCATCCTGGGTGTAGCAATTTGAGAAAACAATGCTGTATTTGTTTTTGTTATAGCATTAGAAACTATACAAATCTGCATGCTTACAAATCATTTGTGGGATAATAGCAACTGGGCAGACAGCTTAAGAAAAACAGGAAACAATCCTCATCATACTTTAAATATTAATCAAAACAATTTTTCTGTAGGAAGACTTAAGTTGAAGCTAATCTCAACAAAATGAGTCATATCCGGTTCAGAAAGAGCCAGGAATATGGGAGAAGAAAGTGACAATTTAGGATTTGTTCTACTACAGGGAGGAAGGTTATGTAATTATAACAAAAATAAATTATATAAAGCATAACAGAATCATATGCTATATCCTTATAAAAGACCTAACTATTCCAAAATTTCATGGCTTCATTATTTCATCACATTTTGTCACATTCTTGCAGGATTATTTGTCCATGTATTCAAAGCCAGTAAAAACAGGTGATAGTTTAGCCATATATCCTGACTTTGAAAACACGTTGTTTTTCCCTCTTTGTGGGTGGGGAGTTTGTATTTTGTAATGATAAGAGGTTAAGCTTTATTAGTTAGACATAGCTACAAACCTCAACTGTGACATTTACCAAATGTTGACCTTGGGCAACTTGCTTAGCTAAGATTATTTCCCTGCTTCTGTAAAGGCAAATAATTATATCTATGTAATATGATTGCCACAAGGATATGGCATAAGGATGAATAAAATTGGATATTAATTAAAAAGTGATAAAAAAGTGACAAAAATTAAAACTAGCTTATAAAAAAGGAAATGTATTTAGAGGTTCTCATAACTCTTAGGTGCAGCAACAGCTTTGCTTCAGGTGGTACCTGACCCAGGTTTCAAGCAATGTTACCAGGACTTGGTTAAACTCTACAGTCTAGCACATTTCCCTTGTTCCAGTCACATTCACAGCTTTCCCTCCATTTATCATATAAAAATACACTCATAGGTCCTCATATCCTTTCCTATTCATCCTGTAGAAAGTTCAGTAAAAATAATAGATCTTGGGTTTAGGCATGTGTAGCAAAAGTCACAAAATACACATTGATTGAATAGTCTTAGATTATATGCTGCTCTTAGAACAATTCACCACAACCAGGGCAATGCAATAATCAGATTGACTTGGGCCTGCATCACACTGTCCATCGTTGGAGTGGGTGGTTGACCACTATTCTTCTTAGATATTGCAAACCGAGAG